TTTTTATCTGGTATTTGGGCCTTACTGCCAGGCCGTTGTATACCTCCCAGTGTAGGTTTGCCGAGACAAGCAGTACCAAAGTCCGTTAACTAAATTATCTAAAGTGTGCATCTATATTACATGACAGAGCTGTTAATTTAAAGAGATAAGAAATACGCACGACCACACCGTAAATCTCACCCAGTGCAGGAAACAGCTTAAGACAAATGGACCAAAAACAAACGGAGAGCGCACAAAGAGGGCCTACAACAACACGTGGAGCCCTCCAAACCACCGGACGTACACGAGCAAATGACATACAAAAACAAGTATCATAATAAAATACAGTTGTTAAGTATCTAGCAGTTTCTATAGATCACATTTCCTCTCGACGCCACAATGGCTTGTTTTATTTCTGCTGTTGACACAACTTTCAAAATTGAACGGCCTTCACCCCCAAGAGTGTTTGGACAACAACCCTTGTTGACGTCATTAAAAGAAGTGGTGTCTCATAAAGAAAGTTATTGCGTCATTATTATTTGCTTTAGCCCTGTGGCCAATGAATCACAGTAAATTTTGACCATGTCGTTCTTTCCAGGCATCAAAGAGGTTCTATAATAATATTACAGTTTGCAGCAGTGACATCACTTGTGTCAGACATGGGGGGGGGGTGTCTCACCCTTATCGGCATGGCCGGAGAGCCCCCATTTACATGAACAATCTGTGCACCCACCCCACTTCCCACCAGGCCTTGTATATTAAACTCGGGATCCTTAAACTCTACCCTGCTCTCATATTTCAGTGCGAGCTTGTAGATTTCCTCCTATGACCGCCGAGACGCCTCTATGTGAGTCTCGAAAAGTACTCACCCGTCGGCGGAACTTCGTTTGTTTTGCCCTTGAGGTTCAGTGTCCCAGAGTGGGCAAACGCAGCTTCCGTTATTTTACTTTGGAGATATCACTGCCACAAACTCTAGTATTAAATATGCCTCTTTGCAAGTCATGCAAATATCATACCATGGATGAAAACACATTTCTGCGGATGTTACTCTACAAAAGGGACTCTGAAACTGAAATTTCAGTTCCATTATTACTTTTTACATACTGAATAAGTTTTCAATGAAACTGCTGGATCTGAAAAGACATCGACTTGTAATCTCTGTTTGAAACTTATTTCTCTGCAAGAATGCTTTTCAAACATCGGTGTGAATGATTCTCATGGTATTTTTCCGACACTCATCTATTCAATTTCTCTACGTAAGTTATTACTTATCTACGCCTGACTATACTGACGTCTATCTATCCAGGGAAAACAAGATGTTCGAGCCCGTATATCAACTCAAGTTTGACAACAACCGCATTTGTTTCTTGCTACATTTCTTTTTATAAGTGAGTGTCAAATGTTGGCTTCTTTTAGTACAACTAAAATTTATATTTTTATCTTCCTGAAATTGCTTCAGAGTTTCCCAACATTTCTGTTGCCTCTTGTTTATTTTAATAACTAAACTATATAGTTGTCCAGCATTCACAGTCGTTCAGAAGGATTGAAAACACTTAGCCTTTCAAAACTTTTATTATCGTTTGCATGTAGTTGTTTGTACTTTCCAGGAATGGACTCATCGTGTTGAACATTAGATCTAACCTTTTTTTAGTAAGAGTTTAACGGCACTTGCAACACAATAAGCCGAAGAATAGATTGTGCGTTACAAGAGAGTAACATACACAAAAAAGAAGATGGAGAGATAAGGACGATAGATGTTTGATAGGAAAGAAGGAGCAAACCACACCAGAGCACCCGCCAACCACCTACCTATTTCTTTAATTCGGTGTTACTATTGTCATCAGATGTAATGATGTACTTCTTGGGCCAACTGAACGGGAACTCAGTGCGTTGTATACTAAGTGTTATTGAGCAAGAAATGCGGAGCACGCGTTAGAGAGTTCACATTTGTATTTAGAGTTGCAACACAAATAGGCCATACAAGTGTCTAAGATTTTACTGGTGCTACTATGGAGCATGATGGAGAAAAGATAAGGCCGATGGATGTTTGATAGAAAAGAAGAATTAAACCACACCAGATCACACGCGAACCGCACACTTTCTTGAGAGTGAACTATTTTGAGGGAGGACCTATATATAGTTGGTTCAACACAGAGTCTGGTGAATTTTTCTAAAATTTATCTTTATCAGTATCTCTTTTCAAAGTGATATTATTTTAACTGGTGGGTGTTTACAAAAATTTACAATTTTACATTCAACTTTATAAGAGCACCATGCTAAAAGATCACAAGACAGTCACTGCAGTGGAACCCACAGGGAGCACGAGGCAGGGGTAGGCCACGGGAAACATGAAGGAGATGCGTGGAAAGGGACATGAGAGAAATGAAGCTCACTTGGAACGAGCTTGGAAGGATGGCTCAGGACAGAGATAAATGGAAGGAGCTTGTATGTGGCCTATACCCTGCCAGGGGTGAAAGGCATTGTTGATGATGATGCTAAAAGAATAGTCCAATGTGAATGT